TCATCTTAAGTGAGAATAGCAGCACAATTGGAAGAGTGTTGTCAATGTCACTGAACTGTGCATGTAGAAATTTTTGAAATGGTGTGTCTTTGGCTTTGTATATTTTCACCAAAAAAAAAAAAAAAGGTCAAGAAGGGAGAGGGTTGACAAGTCATGGGGTTATTAACCAATGTCATAAAACAACATGTGTACTACTGTTTAATGAGAAACTATTTGTTCTGTAAACCTTCACCTGAAGTACAATTAAAAAAACAAAAAAAAGGTAAAAAAAAAAAATAGTAACACTAATATCTATTGATCCCACATAGGGTGGATCTCTGGGGATTGCCTGAAACTCCACTGCCTTAGTAAACATTAGTTCAATGTCTGAGAACACTGTATGTAATGCACCTGATGCTTGCGAGCTCTATAGTAAGAACAGAATTCTATACAATAACTCTAGATTGTATACAAATTCTATATAGTAACTCCAGAGGTATAAGCTATATAATGGATGCAAATTTGTCCAGCAAGACAAATTAAGAGAAGACAAGGGAATATCTAGATTGGAGAAAAAAAACTCCAGAGCATAGATACATATTTAAAATAATGAAATTGCTCTATCATTTAAATTGTATCAAATAGATCTACTTAGAATTTCAATATTTTTATTTTCTATTTGTCAGCATAATAGTTAAAGGACATATTACATATTTATTCATTCTGGTACATTAAAATGCCATTTTACAACATAAAATAATTGATTATATTTACTATAAAAGTTTTCTTTTTAGTTTAATATGCATTTTCATCAATTAACATTCAGTTGTCATCTACCAAAATGAAAATACATGACCTTAGGAAAACTATTTTCACAATAGATTATGGCTGCGGCTGAACATTTTAGAACAATTCTTAAAAAAAAGTACCTGCATTAACAAATGGGATTCCATCATACGGGACATACTGGGATTTCCACATCAAGCGTGTAGCAGGCTTGGCTGGGCTTGGAGATTGGCGGGTCCCCCAAACACTCTGTGTTTGCTGCTTGTGAACTGTTAGAACACTTTCTAATTCAGTCTCACTAACACAGTAGCCACGGTATGAATCTCCAATTTTCTGCATGTGGTAGAAGTTAAATAAAATTATTAGCAAACACAACTGATGTTTCATTGTACAATGAATGTCATGAGATGCTTGTCCAAGGGGAAAGATTCATTAGCTTTCACAAGAGAACGTCATTCCTTCCCTCAGGTAGTCCTCCATTACAACCAGTGGGTCTAACTCAACCAGAATCATCGAATAACTATTCTCTAGGTATTTGTTAGGGAATATAATGCCAAACTCACTGTCACACTATCTTTATTAAAATCTTGTTTGAGAGAAGTAATATTTAGGTAGGATAGTTTGAAGAATATAGAGTGTATCCTTTCTTCCAGATATTTAAAGTTCTATCCCTGGATCAAACCAAATCAGCATAAAACTAACTACAAAGTACTAGTTCTGTATGGGACTTTTTACTGAAATTGGCTTTGATGTCATGAGCCTATTTGAAAACCTATGAAACCTGTGATCGTATCTCCTATAAAAATGTTGAAGTTATTGTTATATCAACGTATTTCTCTTCCTTGAAAGAAATTCCTTTCTGGCCTTAGGTCTAAAAATAGTTATTGGTTTTGCTTTTAACTTACAAAAATTACTATAATTGATTTTATCTAATGGGCGTAGAATTTAGTAACTAAGTATTCCCTTTTGAAATGCAGCTATGTAGATTATAAACAAGTGTGTGTGTATATATACACACTTAGGTATAGATCATTAACATATGCATTTTCTTATTTCTGTTTTATGGTCTCATTCTTGTTTTTCTTTATTCTTTAGCTCCCGCTTTTAATTTCCACCTTACTGATATATTTTATGTATCTTTGTAAGCTGTCTTAAATTTTTTCTGAAACAAGGTATAAATAAATCATGTAAATAAATTGATATTATCTGCACACAACCATTTGAGTATCCCTGTAAGAGGAGAAGCTTTTTCTATACCAACAGAGAAAACTCAACTATGATCTCTTACGGTGAAATGCATATAGACCTAGAATTGACTCCATTTATTTTTCCTCCTTAGAAAGAATATGATCAAAGATATGGGGATAAAGACCCTTTTCTTCCTCATTAGTCTAAACATATTACCTAGGAAGAATATATTTCACAAAAAGGAAAGCATCAAATACTGTTGTGGTTGTACTTTTGGTCATAATAAAAAGAGATTATCTAGCCTAGATATTTCTTCCTCATGATATCCACTATAAATAAAAGCAGAAATATAAAGTCTAATTGTAACTATTTTTATATAAATAAAATGAATAGAATACATAATACTGTCAATAAAAGAAAAATTCAGAATTAGATACACTATAATTTTTAAATTCAAAAAGCAGAAACTACTACTAAACAATATTAAAGCAAAATACGCAAAAAAATTTTCTTCAGTCATTAGCTGAAAATGTTTTTCACTATTTACATATCTTGGTAGAGGAGAACAAATCCTTCACTGCGAGAAGTTATTAAATCTGTTGGACAGATCTAACTAGTTTCTTACAAGATATGTGACTGTAGGTAAATTACATAATGCACCATAGCTATAAAATAAGGTGATTTGGCCACATGATTGCTAATGCTCTAAGGCTCACAGCATTCTGTGACGTTTATAACGGTTTTTAAAATTCACACCAAACAGTCATGATCAGTAACTTTAGAAAGTCACTGAAAAACTATGACTCTCTCTCCCTTTCCTTGCCATCACGGCACGTGCAGTCGACTTCCATTCTCGCCATGTCTTCTTACAAGACTTTCAGGATCAGGAGATTCTGGTCAAGAAACAAAAGTAGAATTGTCCCATCCCCAGTAGATTCCATTGAAAACTGGTAATAAAATCAGGTACAGCTCCAAGAGGACACATTAATGAAAAACTAAGCTGGGACTATAAGGAATTGGACATATGGTGGCACACATACTTATGCTCTGTCAAGTTCACTAGCATCTTACTATATCAAGCTAAAAATTTCACCATTATATGGACAATTGGACATGCTTTATTGAGAAAATTCTGGATTTTTTCCTTTTTTTAAGCTTCTGCATTAATAGGTTGGTTCAGTAATAAATATGTGAGACCTTCTGATTGGGGAAAAAAAACTATGATTGACAACAAGTGTGGGAGTGAATCTTAAAATATATATAACTTAGAAAAGCAACAACAGTGAGAGTGTCCTAACAAATGCAAACGTAAGACTTTTTATTATTAGAAAATTTCTCAAAATATTGAAACTGAGGGAATGTTTTTCCTTCCCACATTTTAAGGCTTGTTTAAAGCAGTGAAGCATTTTAAAAGTTTAAAAACTTACTATTATTGCCTGTGGCTTATATACAGAGGTATGAGTCATGGTCCCTTCCCGTGAAAAGTATATAGTCTAATTGTTTTGTAACATGAACAACCCAAGCTATTAAATAATTAAGAATGGTAATGATAATAAATTCCAAAGGAATTTAAACAGAAATAGGTAAAGGCTAAAATAATTATTAGATTAGTCACAGTAAAGATACATAGGACTTGCATTGAGATTTGAAGAATAGTTAGAAATGACAGGTAGAATTAAAAATAAATATTAGGAAATGGAAATAAGAACGAGTGAAAGCAGAACTGAAGGAAAATTCTGCTGCATTTGTAGAAAGCAGGAAGACTAGACTAATAAGAATGAAAGATGAGTTGAAGAAAAGTAGGAAATAAGAGTAAGACAGGGTGAGACCCGATTATGGAAGGTCCTGAAATCTAACTAGAGATGGTAAATGATGTGATAGAAATAATTCTGATCTTTTTGGGAAGTGAGAAAAGACGATGAAAGCAATATTTAAAGATAAGTATTAACAGTCATAGAAAAGTACACAGTAGGGACCAGAAATGGAAGAGTCAAAGAAATTAGATTATTACCATAATCTAGCTAAAGATAACAAAGGTCTGTGGAAGAAGGGGGGGAAAAAGAGAGACAGAGATACTTTAAAGGAAAAACTAAAAGAATCAATGTGGAAAAGGAAAAAATTAGTCTAAAACTTTGTGGCTGGGTGTCTAAAGACATCGTACTTGCCATTACACAGACAAGGAATTTAGGAAGTAGAGCTAGCTGTAGTATGGTAGATGATTTCTGTTTGGGATATGGTGAATCTGAAGTAAATCCAAGTAAAACTTTAAATAAGTAACTGGAGATCTGGGGCAAGAACAAAGGCAGAATTAAAGAATCAATGATATGAATTTGGGAATTATTTCTATAAAAGTGAAAGCTGAAAGTCAACCAAGGAGATAAACTCTCCAAGGGGTAAAAAACAGAAAATAAGATAGGGTCAAATAGTGAATCTTGAAGAATTTCTACCATGCATTTGAGAAGAAATAAATGCAAGCAAAGAAAGAGGAAAAATGGTCAAAAAAAAAAAAAAAAAGTAGAGACACACGATAGTGAAGTTTCATGGAAGGGGACAGAGGTGCAAGATAAGAAATAATACTGAAGTATGTTTGTTAGGGATTTATATGATCTCTGTTTTAATAGGAGACCTGGTGGCGAAGTGGTTAAGAGCCTGGCTGCTTTAACAGAGTTTACAACTTATAAGGAATAAGAAATAGATAAGATCAGATTTACTGTAAACACAAAATATTACAGATACAGCCTATATTAGCTGTATGTTTTAGGATGAAGTGTGGTCATAACCAGTTAAGTAATACTAGGCAAGGATTATTTTTAACTCACCTCACAGCTCCTAAGACGGCAGGCCCATATAGGTGTGTTAGAAGAAAGTGGCTGGAGAGGAGCCAGAAAAGGTTCTTCAAGTCTTCTGGGGTAAGGGAGGGATATATATATAAATATATATTACAAGTTCTAAGAATATACACACAAAGACACACAGAAAGGCATTCAATAGCTTTATCCTCTTAGTGTCACTACTGAGGTCACCAGTAAGAAATTTTAACAATAAAATAATTAGATTGATCTGAAGGATGTATTAATTATCAATTTCTTTAACCACTACTATTCTATTAGCTGCTAAATCAAAGGCCTTAATTTGTTCTTCCAAGTACCTGTGGTCCTAACAAATTCCAGTATTTTATATATCTCTCTCAAAGCTTATTTTAGACTCTTTTCATTATATAATTACTTTTCCATTTATCAAAAATGAGTCAGTACTCTGAGTGGGCTCACAACAGAGGGTTCTGGACAGAGCTGGAGAAGGATGTAGAACAAAATTCTAACACAAACAAAAAAGACCAGATGTACTGGCCTGAAAGAGACTGGAGAAACCCTGAGAGTATGGCCCCAGACACCCTTTTAGCTCAGTGGTGAAGTCACTTCTGAGGTTCACCGTTCAGCCGGGGATTGGACAGCCCCATAAAACAAAATGGGACTAATAAGGCACAGCAGTCCAGGGACAAGGACTAGAAGGCAGAAGGGGACAGGAAAGCTGGTGATAGGGAACCCAAGGTTGAGTAAGGACAGTGTTGACGTGTAGTGGGGTTGTTAACCATTGTCATAGGGCAACATGTATACTGTTTAATGAGAAATTGTTATGTTCTATAAGCCTTCATCTAAAGTGAGAATAGCAGCACAACTGGAAGAGCATAGTCGATGTCACTGAAATGGTGTATCTTTGCCTATGTATATTTTCACCAAAAAAAAAAAAAGGTCGAGAAGGGAGAGGGTTGACATGTCGTGGGGTTGTTAACCAATGGCATAAAACAATACGTGTACTACTGTTTAATGAGAAACTATTTTGTTCTGTAAACCTTCACCTGAAGTACAATAAAAGAAAAAAAGAAAGAAAAAAAGATGAGTTAGTAAAGCGTCTTCAGGTGACTTGTTAAAAGTAACATGATATTATGTTCAAATTCTAAGATTAAATGTTATATATACTGACTTAATCCAAAAACACTCTCATGGAACAATTAAAAGAATAGGAAGAATAGCAAAACACCCTGTATATATTTCCCTAAATTATCATGAAGAGTGTTACTTAAGGCAAAAATTAAAAATTGAAATAGAAGTTAGCAAAAAAAGCATTTTAAGCACTTTACCACAGAGGAATTAAATGTATACAATATAAAGAAAATTTTAGGAACTAGAATGGATATTTCTTTATTTGAAAAACTATTAGTGTCAGACGCTTTTATGTTGCCTTAAAACGTAACAGGTAGTGATGATGGTAGCACAACATGGTGAATGTAATAAATGTCACTGAATTGTACAACTTAAATATCATTAAAATGGCAAACTTACCACAATAAAAAATAAAACAATAACAGGAATGTTATACTGAGGAAAAGTAGTACTTTGGACATTTACAGTTTCTGGAGCAGCTTCCTTGTTGCCAAAATACCATTAAAATAATTAAAGACATATTTGATGCATTTATTCTATTTCCTGAGTTTCTGATCTTTTCTATAGTCAACCTGCTTTAGATGTAGTAATTTAAAAACAGATTTCCATGGTGATTTCAAAAGATGGGTTCCTCTTTCCTACTAACTCACCTGGTCACTGTCTTTTTGGGCAATGTGAGGGATGCTTGCGGATGAAGAATGTAACTACTGGTATTGTCTGCTAGAGCATCCACCCTTACAGTTGGTAGGTTTCTGTCACCAGGTTTCTCTTCAGAGACATCTTAACAAAAAGAACAAGAAAAAAACATCAGTATCTTGAATAACATGGGAACGTGCCTAACTAGAATTTATTATTTATAATAGGAAAAGAAGAACTGCTGTGAAGCTAAAGATAACAAAACTTATACTGCTTTGTTGAGAATTTTTCTGATAAGTTTGCTTACTTTTAATTATAATAAATTATGTAATTTTATAATTAAGTTTTTATAACTTAAATAGCTTGGACATAAAAGTCGTAGAAATAATTGCTGTATCAAGAGTTTCACAATAGGAAAATGTAAAATGAACTGGTTTTTGTTTATATACCATGTTTATAATGTTTTCTGCAAACTGTTTTTTTCCTTAAGTTTTCACGACTGCTAACATAAACAAAGAATAAAAACTCTGGGGTAAATCTATTACCCTAAACCATTAGCTATCAGAGAGCGACAAAAAAGGGTAGCTATGACATTAAAGAGACTCAAATGGCTGGAAAAGGAAAGGAAGCAAAAGGAAGAGAATGAATAAAAATATTATCAAACAAGTAAAGAAAATATAATAAAAAGAAATGGAAGCATGATTGTCCTTTCTGAATCTAAAGGATCAAAGGAAAGAAGAGCAAAGAGGAAGAAAAGGTTAAAAAAAAAAGTAATGCGTCACATGGCTAACAAAAATATTGACAAAAATATAAATGTAAAACCTTCTCCAGTAGCCATTAGCACTATATTCTTGTTACATTTGTTATTATTACTGTTGTTATAATTAAAAAGAATTTATTTTATGCTCACTGGTCCTTTGGGAAGAAGTAAGAGTCAACCAGCTTCATAGAATTCCAAAATGAAATAGACAGCTACCCTAGACAGGAGTTGAAAAATGAACTTGAAATTCATTTGGGCTAAGAAACTATTTCTAATTATTTAGTTCACAATTTTACCTAAAGAAATTGATTTTAGCACTGACTTTCATGAGGTGATTTTTCTGAAATATATATTTGTTCTTTAGAACATTCTCAAATCCCTTATATCCCATTATTACTCACCTAGAGAACTCTTCACATCCACAAGCTGTCCCTGAGGTACAATCACTTGTGCCATTCCTGTCTGGGTAGATGGAATTACTTGAAGCACCTGTCCATCTTCTGATGGACTGGCTACAATCATCTTGGAAGCATTAAAAGAAAAAAATCAAATGCATATGCCTACAGTGATTTAACACAATTATTAGTTAAATAAATTATTAAACACATACCTCTCTCTATGTTGGATATTATTATTTCCCCCATTTTATAGATGAAAACACTAAGGCAAATATGAAGCTTTTCCCAAGTATCACAGCTAGCATGTGGTAAAGGCAGGATGAGTTCAAACCAAGCAGAATGACCCTATAGCCTACAGCCTCAAGCACAAAATTAATCATTATACATGCATGCTATCTAATTACTTAGTAATCTGAACAAACGCTCTGACAGGACTTAATAAATTTACTTTTGCTATTCTATTACCCACACGTTTGACCTATCTGTATG